AAGGTCTCAGGATGCCTCTGGGGCCCAGGGTCCCTCTCTGAGGCCCTTCTGGGCCATAGGGGAAGCTCCCCGCTGCTTGACTGGGGCAGGTGAGGCAGCTGAGGAAAAGAGAGGGCCTGTGGGGCCAGGGACACGCTGCCCCCTGCTGCAGGTCTCATTCCCACCCCACCCACCAGCCCTGCATGGCGGGCAGCCTCCCACGCCTGGTGCTGAAGGGCCTAGGTGGGCCTCGGGGTGCGGCCACGTGGCTGGCCTGTACTCACGCTCCGTCCCCGTACACCTTGATGGCGTTGATGCAGTTCTTGGCCCAGCCCCCACTCTGCAGGAAGGGGCAGTCCTCCAGGAACTCCAGGCACTGGCCCGTGAAGTTGCAACCCTCGAAGATTTCTAGGCGGAAATGTTCCCCGTGCTCCAAGACCAAGCGAAAAAGAAGGAAAGAAGGAGGCTACTGTGAATTCCCCTCTCCCAGAAACAGAAGCCCCGGGCAGGAAGGAATTAGGAGGCACCCAGGGCACTGGGCACCCCCACCCCACATACTTCAACCCCGCACTTCTGTTTGTTCTTCCACACGAGATGTGGTTGGAAGAAAGGGTTCTATTACTCTAAAACTGTTTCAAGCCACTGAGCTGGTCTAAGCACCTCTTTCTACAACTAGAAAATCTGAGGTCCAAAGACAGCCAAACTGACCAGAGGCCAGCGCTCAGGCTCAGACCAGGGCTGGGGTCTCGGGGCTCCCTCTGGGTGCTCAGCCTGGGGAACTTCTGCCCTGGTCACACCAACACACTCCCGTTTCTGACTTCACTCCGGGGCCGCAGCCCACAGGCAAGCCTTCAAATGATAACGTTTTAAAACTGTAATAGAACCTTTTAGTAAAACATAAAGCCAAAAATCTAAAACAAATACCGGATCTCGTGTGCTGAAACTCCTGCTGGCCTTGACATCATCGTCCCCTAGGCTCAGCACGTCTCCCTATATGATTCCCGCATTTCCAAAAGACAGAGGAGGGCCAGCCCCTGCCTGGCTCAGAAGCCGGCAGGGCCTGGTCTGCGTCACAGCTGGCCCCAGGATAGCTCTTAGGAGAACAGCAGTTCTCAAGATACCAAGGATATTTTTCATATAAATAGCATTATGCAGGGTCCAGGGCCAACCATTTAAATTTCTTTTTTGCCAATTGTACCACAGCCTGGAAGAAATACTAAGAAAGCATTCTTACAATTTGAGATGCCAAAGCCCAGCTGATTTTGCAACTGATACAGAAAAGAGAGGGGGCCCCACACAGAGGCCCCTTCCCTGGGGTTCGTCAGACGTTCACCAGAACCGCCCGGCCCAGGCATCAGGGGAGGGTCCTCGGCAGACATAGGCCCAGACTCTCTGTGGTGAGACATGCATGCCCCCAGGCTCAGGAATCCTCCCCTTCCCACCTGAAGCTCCCAGAGCTCACAGCAGGTCAGCGAGTACTCATGACCTGGGGGAACGGCCTTGCTTAAATCCCACCCTAGGAGCAGCTGGACAGAAACAGTCCTTCGCCATGGGGGAGCCATGCCCCTCGTCTGCCCTCCCTGCATACACCTCTTGGGTGGCAGCTACCTGTGTAATTCCAAGGGATCTGTCCCCCAATTTTCCCCTGACTGGCGGGTGATTCTTCAGCTTCCTCCATCAGCCACTCCAAGACCTCAGCATGGAAGGCTCCAGAATGTGCTACAAGACCACTTGCACCAGTGTCCACACTAGGCCCAAATCAGCCTCCCATTGGCTGAGTGTCCCTTATCTGGCTGGAAATCTAAATTTGGACGATTTCAACAGCATATTAAATGGACAATGCAGCTAGATTTTTGGATCCAAAACTTAAAGTGGTTTCCTGATACCTGTATGAAAACTCAGGGCCACTCCCGCTCGGTTCCCAGCAACTCGGCCCCCCACCTACTCACCTCATGCCACAGGTGGCTCTGGGTATAGCTTCCTCAGTCTTACAGACTTTAAAGCTGGGAGGCCCACGCTCCCCAATTCCTTGCCACTGTCTGCCAGGGCTGACCCTCGGTTTCTCCGGCAGGAAGCCTCAACCCTCGGCGGACAGGCCCACTCACCATTCCTACAGGCCGACAGGAGCCCATGTGGTCACTGTGGCTGTTCCAGCGGAAGAAGTCGGGGTAGTCCCCGTGCTCCAAGATGAACTGCTGGCCCCGGAAGTCAGGGTGATCGAAGCAGACCCAGGCTCCGCTCTCCACGCGGATGGAGTTCACTCGGTTCATAAAGCCCCGGTCCTGGAAGTTGTCACAGTCCCCAAAGACCTCCAGCTTCCTCCCCGTGAAGTGCTTGCCCTCATAGAGAGTGATCTAGAAAGGGCAGGTTACAGAGCTGAGGGTCAGGGGCTTCTCTCCTTCAGGGTTGGAGGCTGGCGTCTGGGTCCCAGCACCCTCGACGGAACCCCTACTCCCAGGCCCGCCAAAGCCCACTCCTGCTGCACACAGTAACGTTATTTGCCAATTGGGCAAAAGCATGAATAGCTGGCGGACTGATGCCATACACAGCTCCTGTTCCTTCCTACCCTTAGGAGCCCACAGTGGAGCAGGCAAATTTCAACAGCGGTCTGGGGACAGGGGCTTCCCCTTTGTCTAGGTGCCCATTTCAAAATGGGCTCTTGTCAACTTCCACTGCATTTTTAAACTCTTTTTTAAATTCTTAAAACATAAAGCCGATAATAACATTAAAGGAGGTGTTTTCAAAAGAAGAAACTGCACCCACAGCCCTCTCGTGGTAACCCAACATATATTTTGCAGAAAGGTTCCTGGGATTGGGCCTCCTTCACTGGAGAGGCTGAATCCCCCAAAGCGCGTCAGGGCCTGGCTCAGGATTAATGTTCTCAAAAGAGGGCTTATAAGTGCCACCCTGTCTCTCTGTGTTTTGTAGGCCACTCCTTTGGGTAGCAGGCACGTATGAGATCTGGGAGCTCCATCACCCTGGTGGGAGTTCAGACACCATGTCCTGTAGCTACGTGGCACCCACAGGTTGTCCTTGTCCCGAAACAAAACAAAGGGAAGCAATAACAACCCCCCAAACTCCTTTCCTGCTGTGGAACCTAAAACCCCAACCATTCCCTAACGCTTTGGGTTTCAAGAACTGCGGCCCTACAACAGGCCTGTCCGAGCGCAGTGATGCTCCCCATCACTATGGCCGTTTGCGCCTCACCAGTGTCTCCAGTTCGCTCAAAAAAACGTGAGAAATGCCCTTCCAGGCCCCTTGGAGTCAGGCGTGGCCACATGCTTTCACCAGAAAGGAGGCGGACACCCTGGTGTTCTGCACCCCAGAGTTACTGGGGCCTTTGTTACTGAAGCATCACCTGGCCCATGCGGACTGATACAGCAACACAGTCACCCCCAGACACTCTGGATGTGGCCCTGGAGACCAGAGGCTTCATGGGAGTGGCTAGGCTAGGGGCACTGGAGAGAGGGCGGGAGAGCCACGTCTCCCATCCTTCCTGCACCAGGCAGGGCTGGTAGAGGGCCCCTGAGGCTTTTGGGGAGACCTGGGCACCAAAGGGATTCGGGGCTCCCTCAAATCTCAACATTTTTCAGAGAACCAGCCCTGAGTGTCCCTGAAGAGACCCTGAGGAAGGACAAGCCACACAGACCAGCCTTGGGCAAAGAAGCTGCGGCAGTGGGGCCGAGGGCTGTGGGACAAGCCAAGCCTCCCCCACCCCGAGGAAGCCCCAGGGAGTCTGACCACCCTCCCTGCTCCTGACTGCGAGGCCAGGGGTTGGAACCCCGGAAGGAAGGAGTGGAGATGGAGACCTTCCTATCCACCCACACTAGAGAGGCCCCAGGTCGACCCCGTTTTATTAAGAAATTAAACCAGCTTCCCTTGGGTTTGTCATCCAGCAACAGTGTGCACCCTCCTGAATCCCCTCGCACAGGGGGCGAAGGTGGGGCCCTGCCCGGTTTCCTTGGGGTTAAGGGACTCACTCACCTTTCCCGAGCGCTGCGCCATGGTGCGCCCCGCCCCATCCGCGGGTCCCGGTTTATACCCGGCAGCTCCCTGCTGGCTCAGCGCCGCCCCGGACAAAAGATTTGCTGGGCCGGCCCCGGCGCGTTAGTGCTGTCGGGCGTGCTAAGCCCGAGGGGCCACCAGGCTGCTGAGACCCGCCGCGGCCACCCTGTGCCACCGCGAATGCAGCCCGCCCTGCCCGGGGTCTCCGTGTGCTCTCCACGTTTAGCTCCCAGGCCTCCTTCCTCCCTGAGCCCTCCCGCCCAGCCCGCGGCTGCCCCTGTCCTGCCTTGGAGTGGTGAAGGGAGGAGTGGGGGTGTCTCTCCAGCCCTTTCTTCCCCGGCGCTGCCCCTCAGCCCTCAGGCCCATCTCCCTCCCTCCCAAGACCTGTTCCGAGCTTCCCAGTCCACTCCCCTTTCTCACCTGGCTGCACGCAGTCTCACCTTGGTGCCAACTTGTCTCCGGGAGGATGCAACCCAAGCTTCCCGGACAGACAGACAGCGCTTGACCGCCCCTCCCCCGGCTGCTCTCGTCTGAGCTCCCAGGTCCCCACCTTAGACCTCCTGCTCCTACTCACCCAGCCCCTGATGCACGCCCTCCCCCTTTTCCCAAAATGCCAGGCCAGGTCAGGCCTGCCTCTCCTCCCGCTCTCTTCCTGCCTGCCTCCCTCCTTGGCACTCTCCCTCCCTGGGTCCCTCTCTCCTTGAAGATCCTGCCTAGGGTGCCCAGGTGACCCGCGCTGCCCTGAGCTGGGGGCACAGTGCTCTGCCCCTTGCCTCTCTGCTGCACCAACCGTAGCACCCTGGACGCCCAGGATCAGTTTACTGCACAAAGGAGTCCCACCGCGGAGGGAGAGTTCCCCAGAGCCCTGGACGAAGCACTTGGCAGAAAGCAGAGGCTCAGAGATTGTGGCGTGAGCAGAGCGAACGGAGCCCACAGGATGTGTAGCCCCAGACGGCTGGGGAGATGAGCTGGGAACACAGGACCCATGACTCAGATGGCTGGGGGTGTGGGGGACAGGGCTGTGAGATCAAAGGAGCGGGGGGTAGGTGCTCCACAGCGGGTTCTGCCGGAGAGAAGGGAGGAGCTTTGGGGAACAGTTTGGGCTGCTCTTCCCTCAAACAGTAGAGTATATTTTTATGACCATTTCACAAATGAGACACTGAGGCCCAGGAAGAGGAGGTTATGTGATTCTTGGGGCAGAGGGGTGACCGTGCCTCTGCTTTGGGAGGTTTTCAAAAGTAGACAGGGCATGAACCAGAACTTGCATGTCACCCTTGAACCCGGGGACAGTCTTCCCCAGGGACGCCGCCCAGCAGGCTGCCTCCACTGGCGACCTTACTTGCCAAGCCACACATTCCAATGTTTGTCTCTGGACGTGGGCCCTGGTGGGGACATAAAATTAAAAACAAAATCTCCTGCCAACCCAGAAAACTTCTCCACGAAGGTAGTAGAAAAAGAAAACAATTTTATTACTGAATAAACTTTAAACTGGAATGTGAGCTGCATCACGATCTCTCCCCCTGAGAGATTGCAGAGATGGAGAGAGATCTCACTCTTCTGCAACCAAGCAGACACAGCCCATTGCATTCATGTTTTCAGGACAAAATTGCTGATTTTCTCTATCGCTATGACTGGAGGTGGGTTTTGCGATTTGGAGGCAGGTGACAGCTGAAGTCAGGCTTCTCAGGAAACGGGGAGGGTGGCGGCATTTACTGCTTGATGTCAAGACTCAAAGAGGTGGTCCTGGCTCCCAGAGGAAGCACAACTGAGATATTAGACTGGCAACTGGCTTGTGTAGCCATTAAAAAGATTACACACAGGCCGGGCGCGGTGGCTCAAGCCTGTGATCCCAGCACTTTGGGAGGCCGAGACGGGTGGATCACGAACGAGGTCAGGAGATCGAGACCATCCTGGCTAACACGGTGAAACCCCGTCTCTACTAAAAAAAAAAAAAATACAAAAAAATTAGC